CTGAGGGGGAGGCCAGAAGAAGGGAAAGACATGGGGTAAAAGTCGGGAGGGGTGTGCGGTAGAGGTGGGTGATGAGGGGAGTGGGGTGGGATGGGAGATGGGGCGAGGGGCTGGAGGTAACTTTTGGGAGAAGTGGGGGTTGGAGGAGTGTAGGGGTGAGCATTAGCAAGTGAGGTGTGGGGTGTGGTTGGGGAAGGGTCTAGGGCGATCTTCTAAGAGATCACAAAGGTGGGGCCGCTGGAATGGGGATGGGGTGCTGGGTGTGGGCTAAAATTTGGGAAGACTATGGGGGGTGGGGGTGGGTCAGGATGGGGGCGAGGTGGTCTGGAGAGGTGTGGGCAGCAGGAGGTCACTTTCCCCCTCCCACATTTAAGCCACCGTATCCTTGACTGAGCTATACACATTGCCTCTTCTCTGTTCCCGTCTCTTCCCAGAAGCCCAATGCTCACATTCCTGGGCAATGAGCTTCTGTGGATTTAGAGGCTCCTCCCCAGGGGAGGCTTTGCCATGGTTCCCAGGAGGCCACGTCTTGACTGCCTTCCCCTTCCTCCCGCCCTGGCCCCAGCATGGACCAGGGCACCCTCTTTGCCCGTGAGAACCCTGGGTCGGGGAGGCCGACTGTGGGCCTCTACTCCCAGCCTGCGAGCTTGGGAGGCACCACTGCCAACTTAGAGCATGTGCCCTCTGCCCAGTGACCTGAGCTCCCTGCTCTCAGCATCAGTGTTAGCCCAGGAGTCCGGCTTGGCAGGAAAGCTGTGGCAGGTGGGAGGAGAGAGGAAGGCAGTGAGGCAGAAACAGCTGCTAGCCGGAGTGGAGGCAGAGCAAGGCCCCAGCGGGTACGGGCAGAAGGCGAGGCGCTGGCTCCAGCAGTCCCCGCTCCTCTGTGTGGAGGTGTCAGGCCCCCCCACCAGCCCTTCCCATCCAATGCCACCGTTCAGGGAGCAGGCTCGGCTCTCGGGCCTAAACCCTGCGCTGAAACAGACCTCAGAGGTCACCTGTCCAGCTCCTCCCATAACCTGGAGTTAGAGTCGTCTCCATGGCATTTCCTCCAAGGGTCTGCCCGAGTCAGGCCAGCCGTTGGCCGGGAGTGGGAGCTCACTTCCTCCTAGGGCAGTCTGTTTCCTCTTTGGAAGGAAAAACCTGCTAACTGAGCCACTCCGATGTGCCAGGCCTAGGTACTGTGCAGACTTGTCATTATTAATGACCTCACAGGGCTGTTATGATGAACTAGCTCCAGTTTACAGATGAGAAAAGTGAGGATCAGAGAGTTGAAGTCTCTAGCTCAAGGTCACATGGAGGGGCAGAATAGATAAAAGATCTGGGTCTGACCCCAGGACTTTCGAACTACGAAGTCCGTATGGGGCTCAGCTGGACATGCTTCTTCTGCACCATGACAACTCTTCTGGGGTTTGAAGTCAGAGACCACATCCTCCTGAGTCTCCTCTTCTCCAGGTGAAACAACTCCTTCCACTCTGTCCAGGAGAACCTGGGTTTCAGCCTCCTCCACACCTGCTCAGTGTGAGATCCAGAATGGAACGCACAGTCTGCCAGGTGGGTTCGGGCCTGCCCAGAGCAGAGTAGAACTATCACATCCTTCCTTGGCACCAACCTTTACTTCTGCGGCCCTATGGCCAGTAAGAGAGTGAACTGTCCTTCTCTTGGGCTTCTAGCCCTTCTTGGATCAGAGCTATGAGAGAAGAAGCCAGGGTTTTGTTTTCATTTCCACCACTCCCTGTAGTCACACTGTCCTAAATTTTGAGTCCGAGCGGGGCAGAGGTGGGGGGAACAGGGGATGGGAACCAGGCAGGGGCACAGCGGGGCTGGGAGGATGGAGGGCTGTGTGTGGGGGGAGGTGAGGGCTTCGGGGCTGTCCGGGCCCAGGCCCGGGTGGAGCTCTGGCCTGGGGGTGGGAGAGGCCAGGGTGGGGATGGGCATGGGCCTGCCTAAGTTAACATCCCCTGCTGTGCGAGAGGAAGTCAGTCGCACATTAAGGAAATGTTGCAGCTGGTACCAAATTGGGAGGTGTCACAGGCAGCAGTGAGGACAGGTATGATTCGTGGGGCCCTGCATGGCCCAAAACAGGGGCAGGCACTGCCGAGGGAGAGAACAGGGTTTCTGGAGCTGCCCAGGGCCGATCTGACTGAGACACTCAGGACAGGGCCCCAGGGATGGGGGTCACCTGGGCCTGGAGCAGAGCCTCCAAGCTTGGTTTCCGGAAGTCAGAGGAAGCCTCCTCATCCTGGCCTGGGCTATGGGCTCTCCACCCAGGAGAAGCTTTGAGGATGAGGCGTCATCTGCAAGGGATCGCAGCTGGGGGAGAGGCTAGACAGGAGAGGGCTTGGAGCCTGGGGACAGGCATGGGAATGGGCAAAAAGGACTGGGGTAGAGGTGGAGTGGTGGGGTGAAGGGGGAGGGGCTGCAGGACGGAGCAGAGCAGGGCTGCCTGGTCCCTCGGTGCCCGGAAGACGGCCGGGATCCAGAGTCCTGTGGGTCTAGGCCTCAGCTGAGGGAGTGAGCGCCGGAGAGGAGAGGGAGACCCCCGGGAGGAGGCAGGCCCTGGCCTCCTCCCAGCACAGGGGCAGCAAGAGAGCAGGCGGAGTTCACTTGGGAGGGAGAGCAAGAGAGCGACAGCGACAGCGACAGCAGCAAGGAGACAAAGGAGAGCAGGGAGGGCCCTGGCCAGGGGGCACCTGATGGGAGGCTATGGCAAAAGCATACGCCTCGGCGCCTCGGCGCCTCGGCTCCTCGGCAGAACGTGCAGGCTGGAGGCCTGGCACTCCTGCTTGTCGGCTAAGCGGCCTCAGGGCAAACGCCTTGATCCCCCTCCCTGCACCTCAGTTTCCTCATCTGTAAAATGGGGATAACGGTGCTGGCATCGCCGTCCTCCCTGGGCAGTTGTGATCTCGTAAGATCTGTGAGAGATGTTAAGACCCTAAGCATAACATCAATGTCCGGTGTCATATTATTACTGCAAAACGCTATCAGCTATCTCTTCCCACTGAAGTCTCACAGAAGCCTCAGGATGTGGGAAGAGCAAGGATTATGGGTCCCGTGTTAGAAATGAGGAAATGGAAGCTTAGGGAAGTGGAGCGCCGTGCCCAAGGTCACACTGCTAACAAGTGGTAGAGGTGATGAGGCCTCCTGCATCCAAGACATCAGTTGTCTTTCTCTTCCATCAAAGTGCTTGGTCAAAATAATTAATAACGAGGGGTTATTATTTAGCGTGAGTCCAGACGGAGCTTGGAGCCAACCACAACGTGGGAAAAAAAAAAAAAAAAAAACCACGGGCAAGTTGTGGTGTGGTCTCTCAGTCATCCTGGTGGCCGAAGGGAAGGAAAATGACTGGGGCTGCGGGACTGGAAGGAGGGCCACAGAGAGAGAGAGACATCCTTTATTCTCTCTGCTGTGGACCACATCCCTCTGCTCTCCCTGAGTGTGTATCTGTGACTGACATCGAGGGTGTGTGTGTGTCTCTCTCTATGACAAAATGTGTCCTTCTTCATGTGACAGTTCTTCCGCCTCCCTGTGTGTGTCTGGCATCGTAGGGAGATAGGCGTGTGTGTGACGGGGTGTCTGCCTCTCTGGCACTGTTTGTGGGCGTGACGACCTCTCTCTATCTCTGCATGACTTTGCCTAGGGTGGTGGTGGTGCTGCATGGCTGTGTGTGTTTGTCTATCTGTCTGTACACCTTTAAGAAGTGGAATATCTCATTTGGTAGTGTGAGTGAGGCAGTGAGTCAGCTGAGGCTGAGGGAGGCGGGAGGGAGACTGCTAGGTTACGAGAACAGGAAAAAGGAGATTGAGAAAGTGAAGTCAGGAGCAAGGAGCTACCCCTTTCCTCCCCAATCCCCTGCCCAAGTCCTGAGGGAGCCCACCTAGAGCGTGGCACCCTGAAGAAGTCCACAGGGGGCACGTTCGTTGGAAAGGGGCACTTTCTGCCCCTCCCCAAGGCCTCGGAGGGAGACAAGCTAGGGTAGGAGTCACTGTCTCCCTCTCCAGCTCTCAGCCCAGGGTGAGGGAGGCCACCACCCCACCTGGTCTCCTCCTCACTTGACCCTTTGACCTTGCTAGTCTCTTTTCTCCCAAAGGCAGGCCACCTGGCCAAGCTGAGCAAACAGAGCAGTGGCACCACGTCCCAAATGTTTACAGCCGCCATGCACCTATTGTCCAGAATGACCCTGCCGAGGGTCAAGAAGTTTCTCCATACCCAGCTCTGCCCTAGGTAGGCCCGTTCTGCAGTGGCCTCCCCTCTCCTCTGGATGCCTGTCCCCGAGCGCCAGACAGCCAGCTTTCCCTCCACCACTACCCCAGTGTGCTGGGAAGGCACTGGGAGTTTTGTAATGCAGCAACCCCCAGTGGCCCTCCCCCGAGCCGCTGTGCCCTGTCCCCCAACTCCTTTTATCAGGGAAGAGGGGCTGGCAGCTTCCCTCCTTGGGAGAAGACAGGCACCCCTGGGCTCCACCTCAGGTCATGTAAGGTCAGTAGAGCCGAGTGCCCCACCAGCAGGAATGCCTCTCCTCTCACCCACTGGCAGGGGCCAAAGGGTGAGGGTTAGGTTGCCAAATATTTTTCCTTCCCCCTCTGGCCTTCCGCCGGCACCAGTCAGTCCCAGGACTTTCAATGCCGGCTCGGGAAAGGAAGGGGGCACCGCTGGCTGAGGATGGAGACTGGGGGTTGCCAGATCCCTCTTTCCACCCCTTTGTCCGTGACCCCTCCCTCCTCATGCGGGGGCGGGGCACCAGGAAGCCCCAGTCCCAGGGTGCCCAAACCCGGGATTAATAGAAGTTGGCCGGGTGGTTAACTGACCTGAATCCCTGCGGCACCCCTCTCTGGGGGAGGGTCCCGAGGTAGCACTCCTAGTGCCCTACCGTGAACGGTGCGGGTGACGGGAGGAGGTGAGGTGGATAGAGGGGGGCAGACCTCCTTTTCTCTCCGGGTCCCACCTCCACCGCTCCCGCCGCCGCCGAGGGAGGTGTTGTGCCCGCGGACGCCAGTCCCTACCTTACAGCCTTTCGTGCAGGACCGGATTGAGTACTCTTCTGCCTGTAAGTATTTATGCAGCACGAGGTCGAACTCGTCATATTTTTCCTGAGCATGTCGGTCGAGCCGCTGGTACGCCTCGATACAGTTGCTACACACCTCCCAGGCCCCGGAGCCTGGGCTGGCCACCACGGCCAGCAGGTCCCCCAGCAGGGTGTCCAGGCTGCAGTCCAGGCTGTCGGGGCGGTCCATGCCCAGCAGCAAGTCCCAGACCGTGTAGGTGTCGCAAAAGGAGAGAGTGAAGTTCCGAAAGTGGCCTTTGAGCAAGTTTTTTTTGGCGGAGGGGAACTCGGCCGGGGCACGGGAAGGGGAGTCAGGGGGCCGCAGTGGGGGGGCTGGGGTAGTCGGTTCAAAAAGTCTCTGCAAAGATTGCAATTTGGTGCAAGCTGCGTCCAGCCCCGTGGGCTCTGGGACACCACCGCAATCCGGCCTGGGACCGGCAGCGGGGGCGGCTTTGGTCAGGTTGCTGTATTGGGGGCCGCAGGTGCCCGGGGGCGCGCTGGGCTCGCTGGGCGGCGGCGGCGGCGGCAAGGGCAGCACCGCGCGAGGAGGCATCGGCTGCCGCTCCCGGCCGGTCCCCCAGGGCGGCCGCATGGCGCTGCTCAGCTCCCTGGCCCGGGGCCGGGCCCCCGCGCACAGCCACAGATGGTCAGCGAGCAGCACGGTGAAGAAGAGCAGGGACGCCAGGGACAGTCGCCATCGCTGCGCCCGCTCAGAGTCAGCGCAAGGTTTGTCGCTCGGCCTGGGAGCCCAGCAGCAGCAGCAGCAGCAGATAGTCAGCGCGGCGGCGTCTTTCCCGGGCCACATCCAAGCGCCCCTGAACATATTTCAGGGGGGTCCGGGCTGGAGGGATCAGGCAGGCGCGAGGCCGGACGGCCGTCACGGGCGGGCGAGCGGGCTGCGCGCCGCTCCGCGCTCCTCCGCGCCGTCCAGGCTCTACCTCGGGGGCTGCATGGTGAGGCAGGCCGGCCGGCCCGGGGCCCCGCTCAGGCCAGAGTCGCGGGGTGCTCTCGTGCCGTCCCCGCGCTCCTCCCGCGCTCCTTCGCTCGCAGCCCGGGCGCCGCCGCCTGGCCCGCTAGGCACTGCCCGGCGTCCCGGCGGGGGGCGGTGCGGGGCACTGGGGCGGTGGCGGCTGCGGCGGCGGCGCCGCACTCCTCATAGTGTCGGGCCCCTCAGCTGCCCTCGGCTCCGCGCCACTCCACTCCGCGCCGGCGGCCGCCCGGCTCGCACTCTGTTCTGGCCGTCTCTGCTCGGCGCAGCTCTGCGCCCCTCAGCGCCGCCGTGCGGGCCCGGCCACCGCGCTCCGCTCGCTCGCCCCGCGCCGCGCCGCTCCCGCCCGCCCGTCAGCCCGCCCGCCTGCTGCCTGCTCCGCGCCGCTCCCTGCCTCGCTCGCGCCCTCCTAGGCCCGCCGGCCGGCCCGCTGCCCGGCCCTTCGGGCTTCGCTCGCGCTCTGGCCGTTCGCCCGGGCCGGTCCCGGGCCGGCTCCGCTCCGGCTCCGCGCCTGCTGCTCCCGGAGTTCCGGCTCGGGCGGGCCACCTGGCTCCCGGCGGCGCCACAGGCACCGGACGCCGACACGGGGCTTCACTTAGTGCGCCTCTCGCTTCCGTCTCCCGTTAGCACCGCTGTGGCGGCCGCCGAGCCGCACGGCCCCGTGGCTCCCGCTGGCCATGCCCCCTCAGTCTGTCGCCATCTTCCGCTGTGCGGAGAACACCTTGAGAGCCCGTGTGCGAGTGTGTTTGGGGGGGAGCGGGGCGGAGAAACAGGCACTGAGAGGAGGAGGGAGCGGGACTGGGGCCCCGACTGCGCCTGCGCCTCAGGACTCGCCGCCCCCCCCGCCCCAACCCCCGCCGGCCGCAGCCTGTGCTGTTTGGGGATGTTTCCAGTCCACCCCCAACTCCATTCACTTCAGCGCCTCCGTTCATCCGCCCGCTCCCCGCGTGCACACGCCACACGCTGAGTCCCAGGCCCCGGCGCTCTCCCTCCCCCTCCCACCTGGGCGCCCGCCTCCCTCGCCAGGGCGGCCGCTCACTACCCCGCCCCCCGAGGGCTAGGGGACTTCTGATGGTGATTCTTGATGGCAGGAGGCAGGAGGCTTCTCCTTAGCGTCTCGCAGCCTCCCTGGGTCGCCTCCCCCGTCCCCGTGACTAGGCGATGCTGGAGCCGGCTGCGGATCGGACCAGTCCCGTGTCCCTAACTCAGCAGCCGCCCTCATTGCCCTGCCCGAGGCCAAGGCGGCCCCTGGTGCTGAAGGACAGCTCCCAGCTCGGCTGCCGCAGAGGACTGGGCTCAGAGAGCGCCCTGGAGGTGGGGCAAGACGGTGGGCTAAGGATGGGTAGTAGAGATAGGGTGTCGTTTCTGCCCTTAGTAAGATTTACAGCAGCCTCTCCCCCTTCCTAGCTTCCTGGCTCCCCCTACAGGCTGCTGAGAATAGCTGAGAGTTAGGAAAGCTGCGCCGCCCGGATGGAACCATGTGCTTGGGGCCCTCACAGAGTCACATGGCACTAGGAACTCAGACGTACAAACGTCCTGCCACGCCACTAACCTTGTTTGGATTCCACCAAATCTCAGACTGGTCCTGTTGTCTACTTCCTTTCCTCACTCCCTCGCACTCCCAGTAACTCCCCCATTCAAATTTTTAGTCAACCATCACCAGTAAAAATGTGTTAATATTAAGAATAATAGCAATAAGGAAAATTGCCTTTATTGAGCATATACCAGCTGCTAGGTTACTGCTCAGGGTGCCTTACACGCATTATTTCATTTAATCTTCACAACAATCTTATGAGATAGGCACTATTGTTATCCTCATTTTCTATGAGGAAGCTGAGGTTTAGAGTGGTTAAGTTGCCTAAGGTCACAGAGTTGGTAACTGATGAAGCCAAGGCAGAAACCCAGGCAGTCTGGCTCTCTTAACACTCCAGGAAAGCCCTGGAAAGATGAAGGGGTGGAAGACACAGTCGTGCCTTAGAGGAAATTGTAGTCTACAGGAGGAAAAGAAAGCAGGTAAGTTGGCTAATGGGAGGATTCATGGGCTGGAGACTTGGGTTCAAGCAATAGTTCTACCACTGAACATAACATGTGTCCTTGAAAGAGTCCTTTCTTCCTCTGAGTCTTGGTTTTCCCCTAACACGAGGGGATACCAAGGGTTAAATGAGACAGGTGGGGATCACTAGCACTATTCGGGGTGGGCTGGGGTGGGTGCATGAACGGTTTCTGGAAGAGTGAAAATTTGAGCTGGTTCTTAAAGAAATAGCAGGATTTGGGTGGGGGTGGGAAGGGCGTTCCACTTAAGAGGAATGCAGTTGAATGTTTCAGGGATGAGGAGGAGCCCTGTGTGATCCTGAAGCCACAAGTGTGACAGTTTGGCTGTATTGGTAGTGAGAGCTTGTGGGGAAGGGAGTAGAGGGATATGAGACAAGGAACAAAACTGTCAGGGATTTGGGAGGCCTATTCATTCATTATGTTCCAAGTACTATTCTGGGAATAGGTAGGAGACTGAAGGGGACCAGGTAGGCATGGCTCCACCCTTGAGATGCTCACAGTTGAATTAGGGATGCAGACATTTTATTTTTTTAAAAAATTTTTAAAGATTTTATTTATTTATTTGACAGAGAGAGAGACAGCGAGAGAGGGAACACAAGCAGGGGGAGTGGGAGAGGGAGAAGCAGGCTTCCCGCCGAGCAGGGAGCCCGATGCGGGGCTCGATCCCAGGACCCTGGGATCATGACCTGAGCCCAAGGCAGACGCTTAACGACTGAGCCACCCAGGCACCCGGATGCAGACATTTTAAAGAAGAAATTGCAACCCTGTGCAATAAGGATTAATATGAGTGGGAGGAAGGAGAGGTTTTCCTCCCGTAAGGGAAAGGACGGATCAACTCTGCTGGCTTCCCTCAGAGACAGCTTTGCACACAGCCGCATGAGTTGGGGGCATTCATTCACTCATTTGGCAAACACCTTTTGAGGATCCGTTATGTTCCAGATGCTGCACTAGGCATCAGAGTTATGGGCATGAGTAAAATATGTCTTGGGCTGAAGGAGTTCAGTTGAAGTCTTAGGAATGAGTAAGAATTGGCTAGACAGATAGAAGAGAAGGTGGTGTGTGAAGGATGTCCCAGGCAGAGGGAATGTCATGTGTAATGGCCCAGGAGCAAAGCCAAGAATGGCATGTTCAGAAACCTGCAAAGTAGTTCATTGTGAATAGGTGTGAAATAGGAGCACTGCCAAAAATGAGGCTGAGGATTTGGCAGGAGCCAAGTCATGAAGGGCCCTGGGTGCCGTGCTAAGTAGTTTGGACTTTATCCCAGGGGTACTAAGAGCCACAGAAGAGCCTGAAAGGTTTTCAGCAGGAGGTGACACAATCAGATTTGTATTTTTAGAAGATTCATTTGGCTGCAGGATGGAGATTGGGTAGGGGCTGGGGGAGACTTGAGGCAAGGAAACTGGTTAGGAGACTGGTTAGTAGTTCAGATGAGAGGTGTTAAGGGCTAAACAAAGCAGCAGTAGGGGTAAAGAGAAGAAATACACATGGGAGGGAAATGACAGGTAGATTTAAAAGGACCTAGGACTGGCCTAGATGCAAGGAATAAAGTAGGGCCTGAAGGAAGATGAAACCAAAGGGTTCGAGTCAGTGACATTGGCATGACTGCCCCTGCCTCCCTAGGAACTGTCTTTCCAGAGCCATTCTTTGTTTAGTCCTTGGAGGGTTCAGTGTTCTGTTTAACAAAGAAGGCTAATCGCTTACAGATACCTGGTTCGGAGCTGATTGGCAGGGCCACAGTGATTGACACCCTTGAATGCCAATGAAAGAGCAGCCTGCCAGGCCTAGGCTCTCAGCTCTGAGCACCTCTGGAGCTTTCTGTGAGAAGTCACTCAGGCAAGACTCCCTCCCTCCCCCGGCATACACAGGGCGAAAAGTGTCTCACAAAGGTCCATTTATCACAGGAGCACAATATAACAATAACTTACCTACACAGTACCTGCCGTACACAAAAGGAGAAGTGGTAGCATACCAGCCAGCGGTCAGAGCAAGCTCTCATTCTCTCGCTCTAGAGGACACAAGAAATTGGGATTAGGGAAGGGAAGGCACTGGCCTCTAATCAGGCCCCTGGGGCAGAATAGCCAGGTGGGGAAGGGGACTGCTGCTCCCCAGAACTGGTGGGCCCTGGTCAGCCTTCCTCCCGGCCCTTTTTCTCTACCTGCTCTAGGTTAGCAGAGGCTAAAGCTGGAGGATAAGAGTGGGTCACTTCTGATGGGACCCAGACTGCCCAGCAAGAGTGATAGAGTGTCTCCAAACCTGGTAGGGAGGAGACAACTTGGGGTAGAAGGAGGAAGGGAAGGTTTTCCACTGTGAAATTCTGACAGTTAGGAAGAAGAAAAAGTGGGAGCCTTTTGAAGAGACCAATATGGTTACAACAGGGAGCTTTCTGTTAAGCTCAGATCTTAAAAGGTCATAGGAAAAAGATGGAAACAAGAGCTTGCAATTAAGGCTGAATCTAAGAACCTGTAAGAAGAGTGTCAGGATGGCTAAAGCTCAGCTTGAACTAATGCTTGTCAGGCTCTGCCTGGATCCCACCCTCTGTGCCCCTTCCTCCCTTCATATAGGTGGAGTACTTTCCCTCCCTCCTGCAGGCTACACCTGTCCTAAGACAGGAAGGATGGAAGTAACCTCACCCTGTATACTGGAACTCAGCATCAAGTAGCCCCTTTGCCACCAGTCTGAGTCTTATCTCAGGTTTCCACTGAGCCTCTATCTCATTGCCCAGCTCGATCCCTGGCCTTCTGTCTCCTTGTCCTGTGGCTGAGTCCCCCAGTCAGAGATGCTGC